TAGTGTCTGTTCAACATAAAGCATGGGTCTTAAGGCTCCGTACAGGGGGGCAGTCTAGGGGTAGATCATTCACAGGGTCGGTTGGTTCAGAAGATCACTGACCTGGCTTGACACTTTCATAATATAAAATCCATGGATCCCAATTTTTTTATAGTTTTATAGAGTCTTTATATCTTTATTAAAGTATAATTTTTCTGCCTCTCTCTGAAAATGTATTTGGGTTTCTATTTCGATCCCTGTTGGAATAGTTGTATTTTTCCAATGTCGAGCTAAACACATTTTCGCTGCAGCCAAGATCTTAACACATAGATATCTATTGTTTCTGTAACAGGTAGATCGATATGAAACAGGAAAACGTTTGGCTTAAGACTAAATTCTAACAAAAAGAGGTTTAATCATTGTTCTTCAATAAAAAATTTTTTATGGGAGCCAGGCTCGGGCATTCCCACTAGATGTGAATTTGTGTGCCTGGATAGTTTTGGCAACGCCAACAAAAGTTATCTAAATTTATATCAAACTTTGCTATATGTACCATCTCAGTGTTAACTTAAAATATTGTTCCAAATCTCTAAAACATGTTGATTTGTGTAGTATAAAGTGTGTCTATTAATCCTGGGTGATTTGTTAATCCAAAAGTGAGAAAATGTTTAATCCGAATATATTTAACAATTTCTCGTGATGGAAGAGCATACCTTTTCTGTAAGTTGGAAAAAGATGTTAAAGATTCACTATCAAAGAGCTGAAATTATTTTAATATCATGATGTTTCCATTGTAAAATATCTAGATCTTCTATATCTAAGGGAAGAGACAAAATAGGACTAGCTCTAGTAATAAAATTTGAGGTTTGTCCCTTTTCAATTCTCTTTCTGAATCTAAAAAAAACAGATCATCAGTACCGATACTATTTAATTCGATATTTTAAGTTGTCTAAACTGTTCATAATCCATCCAGTGACAAGAATAGGGATCAATCCCTCCACATTTGCTCCTTTCTATATTATACCATCCCAGATCCTTATTTATTTTAATGTTTAACATAAGTAAATGGGAGAGCATACAATCTGGGGAATTTTATGTAGATCTGGATATCCAAGTCCTCCTGAATTTATGTTTCTCTTAAGAACATCACCATGTACTCTTGGTTTTCTAGCATTCCACACATTTGAAGTACAAATAATTTCCATTTCTTTTATTATATTAAATGGACCTGGGATTGGAATAGTTTTATACAAATATATTATTTTTGGGACTAGGTATGATTTAAATTTGTTTACTCGTCCAAGCCAAGAGATCGCTAAACCCCTCCACCTGTCTAATGTCTCCTTAAGATCTATTAGCAAGTCCATATAGTTTTTATACATCATGGACTTTGAATCTGAGCAAAGTTTAATTCCTAAATATTGTATTTCTTTATTAGACCAGTTTAATATTTCATATATTTCTCTTAATGATAGACACTTGAAATTAGGAATATAAAAAGACATAATTTGAGTTTTTGAAAAATTAAGTTTATAATTAGAAAATAGACTAAATGACTATAATATTCTAAGAGCTTCTGGAAAAGTGCGTTAAAAGATCTAATAATAATAATCTATTATGTTAATGACTCTGAGAGTGTTATCTTCCCCTGATCTGCCCACTACAAAGCCCACTTGATCAGAATGTGTTAAATCTAAGATAACTAAGTTTAATCTCTGTGCCAAGATTTTAGAGTATATTTTTATGTCTATGTTAACCCCTTAACGACGCTGGACGGAAATTTTCCGTCAAAGCAGACCTACCCTTAAGGACGCTTGACGGAAAATTTCCGTCAATTACTAAAGTTAACGCCAGATCGCCGCAATCGCGGCGATCGTGGGGTTAACACTGTTGCTGGGTACCTCGGCATTTGAGGAAGCCCAGCAACAGCCAGTAGCGCTGTCCCAGCACATGTGATCGCTGTGACAGCCAGTCACAGCGATCACAGTGCTGCTGGGAATTCTGATCCTCCTCCCTCCACCTCTGTGTGTGTTTAGAAGTGGAGAGAGACGGATCGTTTGAAACTTTGTGTCCCTGACAGACACAAAGTGTTTAAAAGTTTAAAAATGTTTTTTACCTCCTTTACCTGTGAAAATTAACAAGGGTTTAACCCTTTGATCACTGGCAGCAGTGATCACAATACTGATCACAGTACTTTACTGAGATCAGAGGTTTTTTTTTAACCCTCAGGGGTTAAGTTTATTTTCTTTCTAACCCTCAGGGGTTAAATATATTATTTATTTATTTTTTTACTATTATTTTCAGTTAATTAGTTAGCTGGGGTGGATTGAAGCTAGGGGGAATTGGAGAATCTAGCATTAGTGTAGCTAGGAAGCTGAAAAGTTTTAGAAAGTTATTAAAAGTTTGTAAAAGTTATTAAAAGTTTATAAAAGTATTAAAAAAAAGTGAAAAAAGGAAAAAAGAGAAAAAAAAAGTAGTTTATTTTAAGTCAAAGCATTTCTGCTTCGCTAGGTGTAAGCACGGTGATCTGATTCCTGTTTTTACCCACAGGGGTTCATTTTTTTAAAAGTTTTTAGAAGTTTTAGAAAGTTTTTAAGAGTTTTAAAAAAGTTTTAAAAAGTATTAAAAAAAGTTCAGAAAACAAAAAAAAGTATAAAAAAAAGTTAAAAAAACAAAACAAAAAAATATGTTATTTACCGTATTTATCGGCGTATAACACGCACTGGCGTATAACACGCACCTCATTTTAAGAAGGAAATTTCAGGGAAAAAAAACTTAAAGGACTACTATAGTGCCAGGAAAACATACTCGTTTACCTGGCACTATAGTGCCCTGAGGGTGCCCCCACCCTCAGGGACCCCCTCCCGCCGGGCTCTGGAGAGATGAAGGGGTTAAACACTTACCTTTCTCCAGCGCCGGGCGGGGAGCTGTACTCCTCCTCTCCTCCTTGCTCGCGACGTCATCGGCTGAATGCGCACGCGCATTCAGCCGGTCGCATAGGAAAGCATTTACAATGCTTTCCTATGGGCGCTTGCGTGCTCTCACTGTGATTTTTCACAGTGAGAAGCACGCAAGCGCCTCTAGCGGCTGTCAATGAGACAGCCACTAGAGGCTCTGGAGGCTGGATTAACCCTCAATATAAACATAGCAGTTTCTCTGAAACTGCTATGTTTATAAAAAAAAAGGGTTAATCCTAGAGGGACCTGGCACCCAGACCACTTCATAAAGCTGAAGTGGTCTGGGTGCCTAGAGTGGTCCTTTAAATTTAAAATAAAGAACTTCTTACCCCCCTTTCTTACTCCTCCCTCCCCCTCTTCTTACTTCCCCTTCCCCCTCTTACCCCCTTCTTACTCCCCCTCCCCCTCTTCTTACCCCCCATTCTTACTTCCCCCTCCCCCTCTTACCCCCTTGTTACTCCCCCTCCCCCTCTTCTTACCCCCTTTCTTACTCCCCCCTCACCTCTTTCTTACTTCCTCCTCTTACCTCTTCTTACTCTCCCCTCTTCTTCTTACTTCCCTCTCCCTCTTTCTACTTCCTCCCTTCTTACTTCCCTTTCTTACTCCCCTCCCCCCTCTTCTTCCCCTTTCTTACTCTCTTTGCCCCCCTCCCCTTCTTACTCCCCTTCCTCTCTTCCCCCTCCCCTCTATTTACCCCCTTTACTCCCTGTAGCGTGGCCGAGCTGCTCTGCTGTCCGCGGTGGCCGGCCGGAGTGATAGGAAGGTGCACGCTCAGTGTGCACCTTTCTGTCAGTCCGACCGGGTACAGGAAACAGAAACTCGGCCACGCTACAGGGGAGGTCAGAACCAACTGCAGCCGCCTGAGCGCTCTTGACAGAGCGCTCAGGCGGCTGCAGTATTTAAAGGGCCGGCGTATAACACGCACCCACAATTTCTCCCCTATTTTCAGGGAGAAAAAGTGCGTGTTATACACCGATAAATACGGTAGTTAAAGTTAATTTTAAGCTTTCACCATGCTTAGAAGGTTTAGTGCGAGGAGGCATATAATATATTAGCAGCCGACTCAGAGGCAACCGACACTGCCTCAGAGAGTGCAGAGGGTGACTATGTGCCAGACACAGATGAAGAAAGTGACGATACCCCTGGCACTGCTCCTGGTGCTGATATCTGGGTGCCCCCTAACAATTTTGTCCCCGACATCCCTCTGTTCACTGCGACTCCTAGTATTCAGGGAGACGTGACCAGCTATAACTCCCAGGATTTTATGGAGCTGTTCCTTGGGGATGATTTTTTAGGGCAGATAGTTACACAAACAAATATTTATGCAGCGCAGTATCTGGCACAAAATGCAACAAGTCACCTTGCCACAAAAGGGAGCTGGTACCCCACCAGTGTGCCAGAGTTAAAACAGTTCTGGGCACTAACCATGCTAATGGGAATTATAAAAAAGCCCAGCATCCGAAGGTACTGGTCCAAAAACCCAGTATGCAATACTCCAATTTTCTCTCAGACCATGAGTAGGCCCAGATACGAAACAGTACTGCGTTTTCTGCACTTCAATGATAACTCGAAATGCCACCCCAAAGATCATCCGCAGTATGACAAACTCTATAAAATCCACCCCCTAATTAACCATTTTAATAAAGAATTTGGCATAATTTATACTCCCCAAAAGAATATATGTATTGACGAGTCCCTAATGAAATACAAGGGTAGACTGGGGTTCAAGCAATACATCCCAGCCAAAAGATCCCGGTATGGCATCAAGCTATACAAGTTATGTGAAAGTAGCACTGGGTATGTTTATACCTTCAGAATATATGAAGGTAAAGATAGCCACCGGGATCCCCCAGGTTGCCCTGATGTAGTTGGGACTAGCGGAAAAATAGTTTGGGATCTAATGAACCCGCTACTGAACAAGGGGTACCACCTCTACCTTGATAATTATTACAATAGCATACCCCTCCAAAAAATGCTATATTGTTTTGAGACTGTGGTCTGCGGCACTATCCGCAAGACACGCACTGGCTTCCCCAAGGCTCTGGCAGAGAAAAAAATTAAAAAGGGGGAAACGGCTGCTCTATGCCAGGACGAACTGCTGGCTCTGAAATACAGAGACAAAAAGGAGGTGTTCATACTGACTACCATGCACAGTGAACACACACGCAGGGTCGCAGTTCGTGGCAGACAGGAAACAAGACGGCTGCCTGTCTGCATTAAGCAATACAATAAACACATGGGGGGAGTTGATCTGTCTGATCAACTGCTGCAGCCATATCTGATAATGAGAAAGACCAGGACCTGGTATAAGAAAGTGGGCATTTATTTAATGCAAATGGCTACTCACAATGCATTCATCCTTTTCAAAAAGGCAAATCCTCAGCTGAAATGTACTTTTCTTACATTTCAGTTTCAGCTCATTTCTGTGCTGCTCACTGAGTGCCACAGTGGGGAGCCATCAGCAGGGCCTAGCAGCAGAGATATTCAGACAGGTCACTTCTGCTTTTGGATACCACCAACCCCCCAAAAAAAGACCCCCCAGAAAAGGTGCAGGCTGTGTTACCAGAGAGGCATTTGAACGGAGACCAGTTTCTACTGCCCTGATTGTCCCTCTCAGCCTGGCCTTTGTATTGGGAACTGTTTTAAATTATTTCATACTCAGAGCCAATAAATTCTCAATACAATTAATATTCTTGTTGTAGTTCTTCTGTTATATATATATATATATTTTTTTACCTTTTATTTAGTTAATTGGGGTGGATGATAGTTCCTGGGAAATTGGGGAGTTTAGTGCGTATGCTAGGGGTAGAAATACAAATTAAAAAAAACAACCAAAAAATAAAATAACATTGTTTTGTTAAAGTTCTTGTGTAAAAAGTTTAAAATGCTTAGGAAGTACAGTTAGAGAATTCTGACAGCGGATTCAGAGGTGACAGACAGTGCCTCAGAGTTTGACCCAAAATGGGACATGGACCCAGCATGCAAATTCCAAGTTTGAAACAAGCCTGAAATGGCCGAGTCTCAAATTTGCCCCTTCAACATCCACATATACCTGAGAAAGGGACACACAGGGGTATTGCTGTACTCAGACGACATAGCTGAGTGACATATGAAGCGTTATACTGCCGTAGCACACCTAAGGATTGTAAACTATGCAGTAAAATCTCAAAGTATGTGTCAAAAAGGCAGAGAAAATGCGTACTACTACTAGACTTGGTACTCACTAGCGAAAAAATGATCCCACCCTAAGGTTCAAAATGGGCCTTTTGAAATACCCTGGGGTGTCTTCTTTAAAAAATGGTAGGCCTTTGTAGGGGAAGTTTGAATTCTCATCCTGTCAAATGCCCCAAAATGGGACATGGACCCAGCGTAAAAATTAAAAGTTTGAAATAGACCTGAAATTGCCGGGTCTCAAATTTGCTCCTCCAACATCCACATATACCTGGGAAAGGTACACAAGGAGGTATTGCTGTACTCAGACGACATAGCTGAGTGACATATGAAGCGTTATACTGCCGTAGCACACCTAAGGATTGTAAACTTTGCAGTAAAATCTCAGTGTGTGTCAAAAAGGCAGAAAAAATGCTTACTACTACTAGACTTGGTACTCACTAGCGAAAAAATGATTCCAACCTAAGGTTCAAAATGGGCCTTTTGAAATACCCTGGGGTGTCTACTTTAAAAAATGGTAGGCCTTTGTGGGAAAGTTTGAATAAGCAACCTGCTATTAGAACCCAAAATGAGTCATAAACCTATAAAATTCTGTAAAAACTGAAATGGTCAGGTCTCCTATATGGCAGTGTAGCGTCAGGAAATACGACTAAAGGCATACATTGGGGGTATCGTTTTACTCACAGGAGATAGCTCAGCATAATTTAGGTTGTTTGATCATATTGGAACATATCAAATATACAAAATGCCCAGCACAAATGTAACGCATAAGTTAAAAATGCGAAAAATATTTTTTTACCACAAACTTTGACATATCATGGCGAAAAAATGGCGACATGTTAAGGCACAATATATGCCATATGAGATACTCTGGAGTCTCTACTTTCACAAATGGTAGGCCTTTTTGCGGTTTTTGAAACAGTCAAACTGCTATAATGGCCCAAATTGAAACATAAGCCCTGCAAATCCGTCTCTCAAAATTCTACTCTAAAAACTGAAATGGTCAGGTCTCCTTTATGGCACTGTAGCGTCACCAAATAGTGTCAAAGACATACATTGAGGGTATTGTTTTACTCAGAAGACTTAGCTGAGCATAATTAGGGGTGTTTGATCATAGTGGAACATATCAAATATACAAAATGCCCAGCACAAATGTAATGCTTAAGGAAAAAATTTGAAAATATTTTTTTACCACAAACTTTGACATATAATGGCGAAAAAATGGCGACATGTTAAGACACAATATATGCCATATGAGATACCCTGGAGTGTCTACTTTCACAAATGGTAGGCCTTTTTGCGGTTTTTGAAACTGTCAAACTGCTATACTGGCCCAAACTGAAACATAAGCCCTGCAAATCCGTCTCTCTCAAAATTCTACTCTAAAAACTGAAATGGTCATGTCTCTTTTATGGCACTGTAGCATCACCAAATAGTGTCAAAGACATACATTGGGGGTATTGTTTTACTCAGAAGACTTAGCTGAGCATAATTAGGGGTGTTTGATCATAGTGGAACATATCAAATATACAAAATGCCCAGCACAAATGTAATGCTTAAGGAAAAAATGCGAAAAATATTTTTTTACCACAAACTTTGACATATAATGGCGAAAAAATGGCGACATGTTAAGGCACAATATATGCCATATGAGATACCCTGGAGTGTCTACTTTCACAAATGGTAGGCCTTTTTGCGTTTTTTCAAACAGTCAAACTGCTATAATGGCCCAAATTGAAACATAAGCCCTGCAAATTCGTCTCTGAAAATTCTACTCTAAGAACTGAAATGATCAGGTCTCCTTTATGGCACTGTAGCGTCACCAAATAGTGTCAAAGACATACATTAGGGGTATTGTTTTACTCAGAAGATTAAGCTGAGCATAATTAGGGGTGTTTGACCATAGTGGAACATATCAAATATACAAAATGCCCAGCACAAATGTAATGCTTAAGGAAAAAATGCGGAAAATATTTTTTTAACACAAATTTTGACATATAATGGTGAATAAATGGTGACCCGTTAAGGCAAAATATATGCCATATGAGATACCATGGAGTGTCTACTTTCACGAATGGAAGGCCTTTGTGTGGTCATTTGAACAACCAAACTACTATAATGCCCCAAAATGGGCCTTTTGAAATACCCTGGGGTGTCTACTTTAAAAAATGGTAGGCCTTTGTGGGGAAAGTTTGAATAAGCAACCTGCTATTAGAACCCAAAATGAGTCATAAACCTATAAAATTCTGTAAAAACTGAAATGGTCAGGTCTCCTATATGGCAGTGTAGCGTCAGGAAATACGACTAAAGGCATACATTGGGGGTATCGTTTTACTCACAGGAGATAGCTCAGCATAATTTAGGTTGTTTGATCATATTGGAACATATCAAATATACAAAATGCCCAGCACAAATGTAACGCATAAGTTAAAAATGCGAAAAATATTTTTTTACCACAAACTTTGACATATCATGGTGAAAAAATGGCGACATGTTAAGGCACAATATATGCCATATGAGATACTCTGGAGTCTCTACTTTCACAAATGGTAGGCCTTTTTGCGGTTTTTGAAACAGTCAAACTGCTATAATGGCCCAAATTGAAACATAAGCCCTGCAAATCCATCTATCAAAATTCTACTCTAAAAACTGAAATGGTCATGTCTCCTTTATGGCACTGTAGCGTCACCAAATAGTGTCAAAGACATACATTGGGGGTATTGTTTTACTCAGAAGACTTAGCTGAGCATAATTAGGGGTGTTTGATCATAGTGGAACATATCAAATATACAAAATGCCCAGCACAAATGTAATGCTTAAGGAAAATATTTGAAAATATTTTTTTACCACAAACTTTGACATATAATGGCGAAAAAATGGCGACATGTTAAGACACAATATATGCCATATGAGATACCCTGGAGTGTCTACTTTCACAAATGGTAGGCCTTTTTGCGGTTTTTGAAACTGTCAAACTGCTATAATGGCCCAAACTGAAACATAAGCCCTGCAAATCCATCTCTCAAAATTCTACTCTAAAAACTGAAATGGTCATGTCTCCTTTATGGCACTGTAGCGTCACCAAATAGTGTCAAAGACATCACCAAATAGTGTCAAAGACATACATTGGGGGTATTGTTTTACTCAGAAGACTTAGCTGAGCATAATTAGGGGTGTTTGATCATAGTGGAACATATCAAATATACAAAATGCCCAGCACAAATGTAATGCTTAAGGAAAAAATGCAAAAAATATTTTCTTACCACAAACTTTGACATATAATGGCGAAAAAATGGCGACATGTTAAGGCACAATATATGCCATATGAGATACCCTGGAGTGTCTACTTTCACAAATGGTAGGCCTTTTTGCGTTTTTTCAAACAGTCAAACTGCTATAATGGCCCAAATTGAAACATAAGCCCTGCAAATTTGTCTCTGAAAATTCTACTCTAAGAACTGAAATGGTCAGGTCTCCTTTATGGCACTGTAGCGTCACCAAATAGTGTCAAAGACATACATTGGGGGTATTGTTTTACTCAGAAGATTAAGCTGAGCATAATTAGTGGTGTTTGATCATAGTGGAACATATCAAATATACAAAATGCCCAGCACAAATGTAATGCTTAAGGAAAAAATGCGGAAAATATTTTTTTAACACAAATTTTGACATATAATGGTGAATAAATGGTGACCCGTTAAGGCAAAATATATGCCATATGAGATACCATGGAGTGTCTACTTTCACGAATGGAAGGCCTTTGTGTGGTCATTTGAACAACCAAACTACTATAATGCCCCAAAATAAGACATAGGTCCATTAAATCCATCTTTGAATTTTCTAACTGTAGAAACTGAAATAGTCTGGCCTCTTATATTTCATTGTAGCTTCCCAAAATAGTGGCAAAAGCATACAATGGGGGTATTGTTGTACTCAGAAGATGTTGCTGAACACAAAATTGGATTTTGACCAGCAATAGCACACAGCAGCTTTACAAAATACACATTTAAAAAACCTTGTTACATGTGTGTATTTCAAAAAACAGAAAAAATAAAATTTTACTACAATATGTAGCAGAGATTGGTGGGATAAAGGCTATGTAAAAAGTGTCAAAATACCCTTAAATAAATAGCCTGTGATGTCTTCTTTATTTAAATATATACTTTTGTGTAGCAATTTTGTTTTCTGTGACAGCTGATAAACTTACAAGT